CTTTAAGGTAGATATTGTGCTTAAACTTGCACTTCTTTGCCCACGCTTTGGCAGTCTTAGCTAAAGCAGCATCCCAGGACTGTAGAAAAGAAAGAAAACATACTATGACCTGCACTGCAGTGACTTGGCTGAATTCAAACATTTTAAAGCAGGAACTTGTGAGGATTATTTTGCCCTTTCCTGCTTCCCACCCCTGCATTCAGTTTCTTTCTCTGACTTGACATTTCTATTCCCACAGCAATTTTATTTCTTCTTCCTCCCTTAAATATTGCAGGACATGTAGTATCTATCCACTGTCCTGTGGTATCTGACGTGTTAAAACATTTAGAGCTGGATTGCAGTCTTTGAGCTGCCTGGCTTGAGAGGAGGAGGCACCTGGGTGAAACCCCCAGCCTTGGAGTGGCTTGAGGGACTTTATGCCTGGAAGCTGTTGGCTGTCCAGGGATTTGCACTTTGCAATTACCACTAGATCAGATAGAAATTTTGTTCTGCTGGCCAGGAGGGAGAGAAGAGTAACAGCTGCTCCCTTCCCCTTCTGCCCCTTTGCTCTTCCCCCTCCTCAGCCTGTGGCCCAAGCGGATAAAAGTCTCACTCATCTCTGCTGGGCTGAGGAGGAACCATTCCCATCCTGAGCGGCCCAAATGACAACTTGAAAAACCAGTCTGCCAGACTCACAGAAAGATTTTATGCCACTGAATGACTGGGCAATAAAATGGCAGGTAAAATTCTGTACAGAGAAATATAATGGATGTGTTTCAAAAAAATAACCCAAACAATTTTGACATTGTGTTTATAATGACAGGTTTGGAGCTGGCGATTACCACTTGTAAATCAATGTTTTGAAGTAGTGTAACAGCAAATAATGTGTTAGAAATTCCTTGAGAAGTAATGGAGAGTAAACCCAGGTATATAATTACACCACTGTAGAAGTCATGTTAAATGTTGTGTGCAGGACTTCACCTTAAGAAGGGACACTAGACCTGGGAAGGGCAGATAGAACATGGAGGAGGATGGTTATCCTCAAATATGGAGGGATTTCATAAAGCAACAGAGCAATCTGCAATTGCAGACTTGCAATTAATATAGCAATCTGCAGCTTTGATTGTTCTGTGAAGCAGGTAAATAAGCAATGATTACTTGCTCCTTCCAATACAAAGATTGGAGACTACGAAACGAAGCTAGGAATTAGCATGTCCAAATCAAACGCAAGGAGATTTCTTCACACAACTTGCGGTTAGGCTGTGCAGCACTTTGCTACATGATGCCAGGGATGATTAAACTTGCATTGCGCTCAAAGCTGAAAAAAAGTCATACAAGAGAAATATCCATCAAGAACTTCTGAATACAATGCAACACCTTTCATTCAAGAGGTCTCTGTGTATTTGTCCTGCTGTCATTCCAGGCTTGCTGGAACTTTGGCCTCAGCAGCTGAGTTTGCTCTTGTGTGCTAGCATGTTCAATTAAACGTTGTTGTTTTAAAATGGCAAGAAATTAAAATCGTGAGTAGTTTGAATTTTACCCCTTTACTGTGAACTTCCTTTCATAGAAATGATTCATACTGTGCATGCGGTTATGCATTTAACTTCCTTCCCAGCTATGCTGGAGGGCTCATGAAATCAATGTAATGTAAAAGCAATGACATCAACTGAGAGGGGTTACCTCCCTCAGCTATCTCTCTACCTTTTTCCTCATGTATTCCACCCAGCAAGCTGAGACCTATCCATGGCCTGTTCTGATAACCACTGTATTAATAGGAAGCTCTGCTTTCCACCCCTGATATTAGTATCCTTACTCCCTGCTACAGCAAATGAAGATCAGGTATCTAAATGGATGTCCTGGCAGATACCCCTTTCTTCAACACATGTGCTAGACTATAAGAAACAAGGAGAGATGATAGATTTTCAACAAATCCTATTGAGCAGATTGCCTATTAAGGAGCTTTTTAATACCAAACAGCTTTCCCATATGAAACCAGACTAACATAAAACAGATTACTATCTTTCTTATAAATAGGTAAATGAAATGCTGAGAACTAAACACTGTGTTTTGCAGTACAGCCCTTTGTTCTGGCTGAAGTTTAGAGTTGCAATCCATTCCTAAGCAAGGAATTCCCTTCAAATTATTAAAACTGTGAAAATTAAAATATTTTCTATTTCATATGAAGAACCAACATATACAGTACAAAAATCATTGACAGAACAAAAAAGAAAATCAGAAAGAAAATGAAGAATAAGATGGGCTAACTCAGCAGCAAAATCTATACTACTTTTCAACAGATCACAAACACCTCCTTACCATGTGAAACATATTGCTGGCTGGTGGATTCACTTTGGATCGAAACTTGTTGTGAGCTCTCACACAGTCTTCAATGAACTTTGCATCTTCTATGTCAGGCAAGGGATGTTGTGGATAACCGTGACAGCAAGCGAGGAGATCCAAAAAGAACAGTGCAGCGAAGAAAAATGTGATTTTCATAATTCTTCAATGCTTTCAGTATTATTTAAGTTTTTACTAGAAAAATCTCTTAGGTGGAGATAGTACTGGCAAGCAGTTCTTCAGAAGTTGCTCTCTGGGTGTGGAAGGACTTGAAAGTGTCAAAGTAACAGGAAGTGAAATTGCTTCATAAGGTGCAGCTCTATCTGACATCACAGCTGGCCATCAAAGGGTAAACTGTGAGAAAGGCATCTGCCATGCATGTTGGCAAGGAGCAACACTCCAGGTACACGTCTGCCTTTTCCTTGAGTGTGCTCCACGCTGGTTGACTGCCAAACCATTCTATGACTGTAGGTCTTATCTGCAGAGACGCTGCAGAACAGCTTTCCCAAAACCTGCATCAGCCATAAAAACTGTAGCTTTGACATAAATACAAATCTGCTGTTCAGCTGATCTTCCTACAGCATCACTTAGTCAAACCACAATTATTTTGCAGGACCTTGCTTATATTTCAGAATTACTCTAGGAATGAACAGAATTAGGGAAGCTGTATATGTTGAAATTTGACCTCAACACAAGAGCAAAAAAAAAACGTTCCTGAACAGCAGCTTGCTGCAGAACAGACCTTCTGACCTGGTTTGGTGTGGAACTGAAGTCCAATTTGGAAATCCCAAGCTTGAGTATGTGTTGATTTTCTCCTTCCTTAGCCATTTGCCATTATCTGATAGCCTGAAATCGTGGCAGGAAGTTCCCGTGCTCCTGGAAAGAGAGCAGCAATAGGATTAGCCCTCCTGGTGTCACATTCCAAGCCTGATCACTTCCTGGGGAGGTGACACGGGCTGGGATTTGTATTGTCTCAGAAACTGCTCTACAAGCTGCTTGAAGTTTTTTCAAACCTAAACTAAATTGTATAAACATCCAAGAGCATAAGAACAACCACATGTTTTAAAAGCCAAGGTGTTGCAACTCAGGTTTAGGTAGGATTACAAAGAAAATACCTTGTTGACTGGAAACAACCTTCATGGGTCCAATTCCCTGCTCAGTTTTGCAGGTCAGGCCTTATCCTGCCAGACACCTGTGGAAAATATCATTCTGGTGTTGCCTTCTCTGTCTGTGTGATGGCTTTTCCCTCTTAAATAATACCCATGGTTTGCTTCAGAGAGCCTGTTAACAACCCGCACACCCCGAGCAGATAGGCTGAAGGAGCTGTACCTCCAGCACCATCACAGCTATACCTAGCTATGTCATCAATGGAAGCACGATGAAATACTTATCTGTGGACGGATTTCTGTGCATTTCTAACTCCCCACACCCTCCTCTTAGCCCTGCCACAGTATCTTGACCAATTTCATGAAGATCTGTACGAGGCAAAAAAAGTGGCAGGAACCTTCTGGTGTTTGGGATCTTTTGGGAAAGAAAGAAAAAAGAAGGGGGCCTCAGAAGCACAAAAACCTGGTCAGAGAGGAAACTCAACAAGTATTATCTTTTCTTCCCCTTTTTTGGGGTTTTTTTTTTTTTTTTTAACTTCATAGAGAATATTCCTTTGGTCAGTTTGGGTCAGCTGTCCCACATGTCCCATTCCCAAGCACTTGCCCCAGCCTCCTTGCTGTTGCTAGATATAAAAGATGGCACCAGACAATCACTGACAGTTGTGAAATTAAATATGTATCTTCTTACATGGTGACATTTTGCAGCATGCGACAAGAGCCCAAACATTTGGGGCTCATTTATATTCTGTGGGATGCCATGCTCTTTCAGAGCTGCAGTGTGGCTCAGAATTTGAGTCACTGTGTTCTCAAAACATTAGGATTAAGATAAAGGAGGAGAAAGAGCTTTAAATATTGATAGCAAAGTTATGCATTGCTAATATCAGCCAGTTTCTCTTAGTTTGAAAGACGTGTTTGTTTCCCTTACTAACAGATGTATATGGGAACAATAGGGGTTGAGGGCTAAGTGTGTCTAAAAATAAACTAAATCCATCAACAGTTTGGGTTTTTTTAATGAGGCTAAGATTTTCCGTTTCCAAACCAGAATCTGTCCTGGGCCTACTTCATCTTCCCTCTCCTGTCTTTCCTCCCTGCTTCCCCTGCCCTTTCCCTGCCTGCAGGCTTGGGATGGCTGTCACCTACTCTGCATTTCAGATTTTGTCACCATCTCACATCCTAAAATTAAGCTCTCCCCATTGACACTCCATCTTAATTCTTGCTCTATCATCATTCCCTGGCATTCTTCCAGCTATGGAGGACAAAGCTTGATTCTGAGTGAAGAACAGAACAGTACAACTGACAATAGAGTAACTTTAATGGAGACTGATACACATAGGCTAAATAGAGTAAAGGACAAGCTTTACTCTTTCTGTGTTTAAAAACACATACTGTTAAATATCCATTACCTGGGGAAAGCGATGTCTTGGATAATTGAAGGAGATGAGTTATTGCTTCTTTTGGACCTGCTATGCTGCTTCAGACATGTCTCTGTGATGCTCCAGGTTTCCAGGAGGCATGTATAGTAATATATAGTCTACATGGTCCCTCTAGAAAGCTGCTGCTGAGCCAGAGCTAAGAGGCTTGTGCTGACATAGAAGCACATTGCAGCTACTGCCAATAAATTACACTAACTCCATGCACAACCACTTTTATCCTGCCTTGAGTGAAGAAGCAGCCTTTTCTATGCTGGATAAACATCACAAGGATAATGGAGAGAAGACTGAGTGTTTTTGCAGATGTGTGCAATTCTCTGAGAGTAATACAGCAGTACGATCGCTATCAGTATCTTAATTGTTCATTACTCATAAAAAAATGTGTGTGGAAACCGCTGTTGTACTAAAAGAACAGCACCAGCACTCAGTACCAAAAAGAGTGGCCTTAAAATTAAAACAGTAATACAGTACTGGTCGCAAGAGGGATGTGGCTGCTCAGCAGGTGGGATGTACGGCGGCGCAGGAGGCCTGGGGGGACGGGGCCGTGGTGGCTGGGGCTGTGTGTCCCAGTCTGGATACCAGGAGGCATAATCTAAAAATCAGTGAAGAAACAAGTGTTAAGACCCATCAAACTTATCCATGCTTATGGAAAAGTAATTGAGAGCAATTTGATACGTACTTATTAGCTTCTCACGTTCTGGATTTTCTGTAGAGATGAGAAAAGGAAAAAATGTGAGTGGTGGCTCTTAATGGAAAAAGGAAACCCATTGCTGCTGCCTGGCTGATTGCCCTGACAATGCCAGTCTGCGCTTTATACATCCTGCAAAGGGGAATTAGGCCAAAAATAGTGGGTTCCTGGCTGACACGGGGCTCATAATTTTTACCGAGTTGAAAGATAAGCACAAAAGAAGTACATGCATTAGGAAGAATTTCTTTCATGAGGAAAACTGGCAAATAAGAACAAAACTTGGCATTTATTTTAAATTGATATACAAAGCAAATTTAAGTAGTTACAGACAGACAAACCTAACTACTAAATTTATGACAGAAATACACCTTTACTAAGAGCTTTGATGCATCTGCAGGATTGCCTACGTGCATCCTATCAGAATTGCTGATTTGCCCTATAGGACAATATGGTAAAATGGCTTGTAGGATGTAGCACTTAATTTTTAAAAGTTCTTTTCCTCCTCTTCCTCTTTCCCTCCCCCTAGTCTTTGAGATGTTTCTAGTTTTCCTGTGATGCATCAGTCTGAGACTTCAAGATGAGTCAGCCAGGATATCATGGAAGGAAATAAGGATACCAAATGCTCAATTATTTCTACAGCTGAAGCTTTCTAAAGCCTGGCTAGTAGAGACCATCCCCATTAAACCTCTGTATAAAATTCATCTTTGATTTAAGACATTGCTGTTTATTTAAAACACTATTTGTGACTAATCTGGGACTAGGTGTAATGACATAAAGGTACACAGCTGCAAACTGCTGTGGAAAAACAAGCTCTCACTGCTGTATTTCAACAAATTGCAGCAGTTAGAAATAAGTGTGCTTTTCAGTATAGTCTTACTACTGGTTCACAACTATAGTTTTCCAGAAAATGCGATAGGACATACTAAACAAGCAAGACAGCAGAAGTTGAATACACTATTTCTGCTAGGGGAAAAAAGAACTAGACAGACAATATTGTTGGGGCTGAAGTTTTAGATTTGATTTCCTGATCAGATAAAAGGTAGGAAGTAGTCTAACTGATACTTCTCTTCATCAGAAACTCTGGGTTCTACCTCTGAGAGCCTTCAACAGCAAAATATTTCAATTAATTCCTTCTTATACTATTCTTACCAGGGCTTGGTACTGTTGCTGTGTGGTGCGCTACAGACCCTCTATATACTTAGTGCAAATATAACTCACTGATATATTTCTACTGATAATTATGACACTTTATTTCTATGCAATTTTCTTAGTTAATCACTTTGGTCTTACCACAGAGCTTGTCTACGCATTTCTCATTACTGCATCCACTGCATGGTCGTCCTGCTTTATATGGTTTTCTTGGGTAATTCCCCCTGCAAAGGAGAATAACAATATTTTGTTAGCTCGGTTGTTTGAAAAGCAATTTGCATACATGGTTTCATCACATTGTTAGAATAATTTATCATGCAAAGCTATTAGGGAGGGAGGGAAATCCCTTTATCCAAAACCTGATCATTGCAAATGTTTGAAATTCTTTTTAGAACAGATTAAAGCTCTCAGTGGCATGAGGAGCAGCTACCTGGTGACTGTCTCCATTTGAAATTAATGAGACTTCTCAGGCAATACTGTATTATTCAGTGTAAGCATACAAGAATCTTCCTCTAATCTCTCATTACCCATCTGTATGTAAAAAAAAACTCTGTAAAAGGCAAATCCAGAAATTACAAGGTATGAGATAAACTAGAGGACTGTCTTCCTTTTATTTCTTCAATTAAAATGTCTTGTTTGAATATTGGGTGGGGCTATAGATAGATGTAATCTTTCTCAAACAGAAAGCTTGCACCTTTCCTACTTTTCCTGCAGAGACTAGTCAAAACAGATTTTATTCCACCACCTTGGTTAAGGTGATTGCTCTCAGCTGTGATCTGCTCGCCTGCTTTTTAATGAAGAGATTTTCTGCAGCTCCGACTATGTCCAGCAGCTTCTGCTCTCACTGGCTGGGGGAAGTTTCCCTCAGACCAGTGACACGTGGACAGAGCTGCTGTTGACATTTGTTACAACTGCTCCCATCGCCGCTAGCATCTGATACCAGGTCAGTCATGGGCTATTTAAAAAATAAAACCCCTGAGCCCCCAATGCCATCATTAACTTACGCTGGCCCATAGTTGCAAACAAAATGTGCTGCTCGGAAGAGCCCTGGAAAATTTTCAACTGTATTGCAGAAGTGAACTGCGCAGCCAACTTTGTAACTCTCTGCCCAAACGACCTGGAGGGCAAAGGGAAAGATGTAACGCGCCTGTCCCAAGACTTGAAAAAGCAACGGCATTTAGGGAGGAAGGAGAAGGGAAAGCTCTTGTGGAAGTTTAAAACAGCCAACACAGGAGCGACATCGACAACCCATAGGGCAGCTTAGACAAGCGACTGCTTGATGTTGGTTTTGCATTTATTACCTGGCTCCCCTGGAAACACGAAATTGTCAGGGGATAATCCCTTTCCAACATTACTGAAAACAGGCCTCGGACATCCCTGGGGCTCGGAGTAGTTACTTCTACTCTCATGCAGCAATAAACCAGGGGGGGTAAAAACCCCTGCTGCAATTCCTGTTACAAAGCGGCCTGCTTCAAGCCTGTACTCGGGATTTTCCGTGAAACCACAGGCCATGTGAGACTCACCTGGGTGTAGTGACCACACATGTCAGTACACTGATTGGTGTTGAAATTGTAGCTTTCGACTTCATTAAACCAGTCCTCGAGAGCTTCACCCACAGAGAAGATGGTGGCTGTGCCGGTCCAGATGTTTTCTCCAACAGGAGTAAAAGTGGGGTGCGTCTTGCCCCGCACTTTAAGGTAGATATTGTGCTTAAACTTGCACTTCTTTGCCCACGCTTTGGCAGTCTTAGCTAAAGCAGCATCCCAGGACTGTAGAAAAGAAAGAAAACATACTATGACCTGCACTGCAGTGACTTGGCTGAATTCAAACATTTTAAAGCAGGAACTTGTGAGGATTATTTTGCCCTTTCCTGCTTCCCACCCCTGCATTCAGTTTCTTTCTCTGACTTGACATTTCTATTCCCACAGCAATTTTATTTCTTCTTCCTCCCTTAAATATTGCAGGACATGTAGTATCTATCCACTGTCCTGTGGTATCTGACGTGTTAAAACATTTAGAGCTGGATTGCAGTCTTTGAGCTGCCTGGCTTGAGAGGAGGAGGCACCTGGGTGAAACCCCCAGCCTTGGAGTGGCTTGAGGGACTTTATGCCTGGAAGCTGTTGGCTGTCCAGGGATTTGCACTTTGCAATTACCACTAGATCAGATAGAAATTTTGTTCTGCTGGCCAGGAGGGAGAGAAGAGTAACAGCTGCTCCCTTCCCCTTCTGCCCCTTTGCTCTTCCCCCTCCTCAGCCTGTGGCCCAAGCGGATAAAAGTCTCACTCATCTCTGCTGGGCTGAGGAGGAACCATTCCCATCCTGAGCGGCCCAAATGACAACTTGAAAAACCAGTCTGCCAGACTCACAGAAAGATTTTATGCCACTGAATGACTGGGCAATAAAATGGCAGGTAAAATTCTGTACAGAGAAATATAATGGATGTGTTTCAAAAAAATAACCCAAACAATTTTGACATTGTGTTTATAATGACAGGTTTGGAGCTGGCGATTACCACTTGTAAATCAATGTTTTGAAGTAGTGTAACAGCAAATAATGTGTTAGAAATTCCTTGAGAAGTAATGGAGAGTAAACCCAGGTATATAATTACACCACTGTAGAAGTCATGTTAAATGTTGTGTGCAGGACTTCACCTTAAGAAGGGACACTAGACCTGGGAAGGGCAGATAGAACATGGAGGAGGATGGTTATCCTCAAATATGGAGGGATTTCATAAAGCAACAGAGCAATCTGCAATTGCAGACTTGCAATTAATATAGCAATCTGCAGCTTTGATTGTTCTGTGAAGCAGGTAAATAAGCAATGATTACTTGCTCCTTCCAATACAAAGATTGGAGACTACGAAACGAAGCTAGGAATTAGCATGTCCAAATCAAACGCAAGGAGATTTCTTCACACAACTTGCGGTTAGGCTGTGCAGCACTTTGCTACATGATGCCAGGGATGATTAAACTTGCATTGCGCTCAAAGCTGAAAAAAAGTCATACAAGAGAAATATCCATCAAGAACTTCTGAATACAATGCAACACCTTTCATTCAAGAGGTCTCTGTGTATTTGTCCTGCTGTCATTCCAGGCTTGCTGGAACTTTGGCCTCAGCAGCTGAGTTTGCTCTTGTGTGCTAGCATGTTCAATTAAACGTTGTTGTTTTAAAATGGCAAGAAATTAAAATCGTGAGTAGTTTGAATTTTACCCCTTTACTGTGAACTTCCTTTCATAGAAATGATTCATACTGTGCATGCGGTTATGCATTTAACTTCCTTCCCAGCTATGCTGGAGGGCTCATGAAATCAATGTAATGTAAAAGCAATGACATCAACTGAGAGGGGTTACCTCCCTCAGCTATCTCTCTACCTTTTTCCTCATGTATTCCACCCAGCAAGCTGAGACCTATCCATGGCCTGTTCTGATAACCACTGTATTAATAGGAAGCTCTGCTTTCCACCCCTGATATTAGTATCCTTACTCCCTGCTACAGCAAATGAAGATCAGGTATCTAAATGGATGTCCTGGCAGATACCCCTTTCTTCAACACATGTGCTAGACTATAAGAAACAAGGAGAGATGATAGATTTTCAACAAATCCTATTGAGCAGATTGCCTATTAAGGAGCTTTTTAATACCAAACAGCTTTCCCATATGAAACCAGACTAACATAAAACAGATTACTATCTTTCTTATAAATAGGTAAATGAAATGCTGAGAACTAAACACTGTGTTTTGCAGTACAGCCCTTTGTTCTGGCTGAAGTTTAGAGTTGCAATCCATTCCTAAGCAAGGAATTCCCTTCAAATTATTAAAACTGTGAAAATTAAAATATTTTCTATTTCATATGAAGAACCAACATATACAGTACAAAAATCATTGACAGAACAAAAAAGAAAATCAGAAAGAAAATGAAGAATAAGATGGGCTAACTCAGCAGCAAAATCTATACTACTTTTCAACAGATCACAAACACCTCCTTACCATGTGAAACATATTGCTGGCTGGTGGATTCACTTTGGATCGAAACTTGTTGTGAGCTCTCACACAGTCTTCAATGAACTTTGCATCTTCTATGTCAGGCAAGGGATGTTGTGGATAACCGTGACAGCAAGCGAGGAGATCCAAAAAGAACAGTGCAGCGAAGAAAAATGTGATTTTCATAATTCTTCAATGCTTTCAGTATTATTTAAGTTTTTACTAGAAAAATCTCTTAGGTGGAGATAGTACTGGCAAGCAGTTCTTCAGAAGTTGCTCTCTGGGTGTGGAAGGACTTGAAAGTGTCAAAGTAACAGGAAGTGAAATTGCTTCATAAGGTGCAGCTCTATCTGACATCACAGCTGGCCATCAAAGGGTAAACTGTGAGAAAGGCATCTGCCATGCATGTTGGCAAGGAGCAACACTCCAGGTACACGTCTGCCTTTTCCTTGAGTGTGCTCCACGCTGGTTGACTGCCAAACCATTCTATGACTGTAGGTCTTATCTGCAGAGACGCTGCAGAACAGCTTTCCCAAAACCTGCATCAGCCATAAAAACTGTAGCTTTGACATAAATACAAATCTGCTGTTCAGCTGATCTTCCTACAGCATCACTTAGTCAAACCACAATTATTTTGCAGGACCTTGCTTATATTTCAGAATTACTCTAGGAATGAACAGAATTAGGGAAGCTGTATATGTTGAAATTTGACCTCAACACAAGAGCAAAAAAAAAACGTTCCTGAACAGCAGCTTGCTGCAGAACAGACCTTCTGACCTGGTTTGGTGTGGAACTGAAGTCCAATTTGGAAATCCCAAGCTTGAGTATGTGTTGATTTTCTCCTTCCTTAGCCATTTGCCATTATCTGATAGCCTGAAATCGTGGCAGGAAGTTCCCGTGCTCCTGGAAAGAGAGCAGCAATAGGATTAGCCCTCCTGGTGTCACATTCCAAGCCTGATCACTTCCTGGGGAGGTGACACGGGCTGGGATTTGTATTGTCTCAGAAACTGCTCTACAAGCTGCTTGAAGTTTTTTCAAACCTAAACTAAATTGTATAAACATCCAAGAGCATAAGAACAACCACATGTTTTAAAAGCCAAGGTGTTGCAACTCAGGTTTAGGTAGGATTACAAAGAAAATACCTTGTTGACTGGAAACAACCTTCATGGGTCCAATTCCCTGCTCAGTTTTGCAGGTCAGGCCTTATCCTGCCAGACACCTGTGGAAAATATCATTCTGGTGTTGCCTTCTCTGTCTGTGTGATGGCTTTTCCCTCTTAAATAATACCCATGGTTTGCTTCAGAGAGCCTGTTAACAACCCGCACACCCCGAGCAGATAGGCTGAAGGAGCTGTACCTCCAGCACCATCACAGCTATACCTAGCTATGTCATCAATGGAAGCACGATGAAATACTTATCTGTGGACGGATTTCTGTGCATTTCTAACTCCCCACACCCTCCTCTTAGCCCTGCCACAGTATCTTGACCAATTTCATGAAGATCTGTACGAGGCAAAAAAAGTGGCAGGAACCTTCTGGTGTTTGGGATCTTTTGGGAAAGAAAGAAAAAAGAAGGGGGCCTCAGAAGCACAAAAACCTGGTCAGAGAGGAAACTCAACAAGTATTATCTTTTCTTCCCCTTTTTTGGGGTTTTTTTTTTTTTTTTTTTTTTAAATAGTTTCCTGTGCTTTGAAACTCCCAGACTAAAATCACCAATTTTTTATCTAATAAAATTATTTCTCTTTAAAAATGACCAAGCCAAATTGGTCAGTGGTAGGAGACTGGCTGCTTTCTCTTTGTGGGCATAGCGAGCTGGGTGCAAGACGCTTTTGGTCCTGTCATGTCCTTAATGAACAGATGCAAGAGGCACTACCAATCATCTCACACTCTCACCTCCCTTGGCAAGTAACGGGAAGTAGAGGGTGAAGCACCCATCCTGACACAACCCCAGACCAAGGCAGTAGCCACACTTGCAGGCCACCATTGCCTTTCAGCTGTCCTTGCCTCACCTGTTCCTCCATCAGTGGTTGGCTGCGGCTCCATTTGCCTCTGGAACATGTATGCAATGGTCGTGACCTTACCTACATTTACTAGATCCACCTGCTGACTCTGCCTCCTGGTGTGCCACTATCAGTGCCAAAGTACTTTGTCTAGCAGATGCAGGTTCTGTCCTCTTCTGCTGTCACACTCTATCCTAGAAACTGCACAGGAGCACTGGCACAGATGACAAGGCCTTCAGCTGTGCTGGGACATTTTAAAATGCACGGGAGGATGACCCTCTACAAGCAATGGTGACTGCTAGTCAGGCTGGTATGGTGAAGGGGATCTTGGGTGGCAGGTTTCTTCATGTGGGTGCCATTACCTTCTGACTTACCAGAGGACAGAGCTTGGTCTCTCCTGTCAGGTCCTTGCTTCTGGGCTACAAAGACCCTCCAATCCACCACGTGCACTCCTGAAGACCACAAGGTAGCACCCAGGTGCCATTGACAGCATGGTGTGTACGTGGAGCACCAAGTATTGGAGAGAACCTTAGGTCAAATTGTGATGGTTTAGGTCACTATGGTGAATGGCCCCCTCCCCTGCTTCTAAACCGAACATAGAAGGCCTGTCCACTGTTTGGTTCCTTTGGAAATCATCTCACCTCTTCTAAACCAGAGCCTACTGCGTTCGGTTTACTGCCAGTTATTCTTTCTCCAGCTGAATATTACCTTAAAACTAGAAAATAAGTATGTTTTCTCTTTTTCTTTTCTAGTAATGCCCATGCAATCTATGAGACCCTAAAACTAGACAACAAAAAACCGTGATTATATTACAATTACATGCAATCTGCACAAAAATTATCATCACACGTACCATTAATTTAGCAATGTGGTGATTTTGCAGTTCTATATGCATGCAGTTGAAATCCTGTGCTTGGAAGCTGAACTAAGATCTTTATGAAGCAGGAAATTTTGACAAATCCAGGACAGGGCAGGTTATAAAATGAAGATGCTTTCCTGCAAAAATGATGCTGGCTCCATCTAGTGACTCTATCTGCAATTAAAGCACAACTCCAGCCTGCCCTCAAGTGTCGATAAATGATGTTTTCACAGAAAGAGTTATAAACCTTTGCCAGCACTAACCAGTGGGTCTTGCAAACCAGACAAAAATTAAGCTTTGGGATTTGAATGTCACATTCTATTTGTCTGGACCGGTTTAATGAAAGGAGGGTGGTGCTACTGGATTTCCACAAATTATTTTACAACAAAACTATTTTGCATTTATGAAAAGCTAAAAAACCTTACAATTATTTTGTAATAGCAAGGCCATAAACAGCCTCACAATTAACAGGAAAGGCCATTAGTATGTGGTTGGACTGTAGTTTTGGTTGGTGGAATTTGTACAGTGCTGCTTGCTGCAACTACGCCCCGTAGCCTGAGTTTGCTGTGTTCCATCTACAAAGTACCAGGCTGTCATACAGACCAAAGCACCAGAGGTTGGTAGGTGTTCCATCTCTTGTGATGCCCACTTCCTGCCAGTCAAAGTGGCCCTTTATCACATCTACTTTGCCCCTCAAGGACAACCAAAGAGTAAGGGAAGTGTGAAGCACTCACTGAAGGCTGGCTCTTCCCTTTGGTGATAGCTCTGCTAAAGTAGTGAAATGAAAATGGACAGGCAGTGACAATGCTCTGGAAGACAGCAGTCTCTTGAACCATCCAAATACCTGAAGGGCGGGTGTACAGAAGACAAGAGCCAGGCTCCTTTCAGTGGTGCCCAGTGACAAGTGGCAATGGGCACAAACAGGAACACGGGAGGTTCCCTCTGAACATCAGGAGACACCTTTTTTACTGCAAGGGTGACCAAGCACTGGTACAGGTTGCCCATGGAGGTTGCAGAGTCTTCATCCTGGGACATATTCAGAAGGCATCTGGACATGGGCCTGTGCAACAAGGTCTAAGTGGCCCTACTTGAGCAGATGACCTCAAAGGTCTCTTCCAATCTCAACCATTTTGTGACTCCTTGATGTAGCCAAAGCTTCAGCAGATTGTGCAGGTCGAATGATTTAGCATGATCTCAACAGCACAGACACAGAAGCTTGTTATAGAGTCCAAGTATATGCCTAGCTGGCCAGTATCTCTGGTTATTTTCCTTGCCCTTCATCCATGATTTATATTTCTTGAACTTAAATTTTAGTTCTTATGTTCTAAGAACTAAAAGTAAATGGGGGGGTTTATTTGTAGAAAAAAACCCAGAATCCTAAACCTATGCAATATTAACACTTTAAAACCGGAAAGACCTTTATTGTAGTACCAAATTTTGCATTTCAGGTAATAAGGAAACTTATTTTCCTTGCAGACATCTGAAATTTAGCTCTGCAGTAAGCTTTTCAACCCTAACACAGCATCTACATAATGATTTTATCTTCAGAGATGGTATCAGCAATTTCCAGGTAAAGCGACAGGAAAGGCTGCTGCTCAGGAACTTTCATACCGCTCAATTTTCTATGTAGAAGCCACCTATTTATGGATTTAGGTATACCTTATTAGGCTTCTAGATTTGAGGATGTAATTCAAGTTTTAAATAATAAAACTTGTAGTTGAAAAGTCTGTTCTCTATTTTTGTAATTTTAGATTAGAAAACAGAAGCAATAGCTAGCACATGCCTAAATTTAAATTGATCTTCAATAAAAGTCTATCTTATTTTCTTGAGACTTACAAATTATTTTTCTATTTAATCAATGGAATTATCAGTATAGATTTAGATAATAAATTGGAATGTATTAGACCTAAATTGTCAGTCACACACCTATAATGAAAGTATAAGACAAATTACTTCCTAAAGCTGAACTCACAGAAGCTTCCTTTAAGCTCAACTGGAGCTCTGAACGTTAAAAAAATAGTAGAATTTGTGGGGGTTTTTATTTGTTCATTTTACAATAATGGTAAAACATTACCTAATAATAATGAACTTTCATAGAGTCATATCGGCATTCATTAGAAGACTAAGATACAATCAGGAAAAAAATCTAGTTTGCTATACTGGTTAAAAAAGCTTCAGATTCTTGTATAAATTTAATCTGTCTTTTGGAGAAACTGAAATTAAAGCATACTAATCAAAGACTTCAAGTCTTTCATATAGAAGACTAAAATCTGTGTTGATTAAATGGACCTGAGCAAGTTTCAAGATAAAATAAAGAAAATTTATTGTTAAAACTTTATAACACTTACAAAACAGGAAATATGCTATGTCTAAGTAATGGTACATGCTAAAACAAGGAATAAAACTCAATAAAATCATAGGGAGTTAGGAACAAAATACTTAATAATAAATCTAAAGCTTCACATTTTGAATGGGGAACAATAAAGACATTGGCTTATAAATAACAAGTTGCACTGACTTCACAAATGTCCAGACTACTGAAGAACCATCTTTCTATAAAATATTCCTTAAACATTTTATTCAGAACATTCTGTTACTCTAGAAAACAGCACTGAGTACTTAATATGCTACCTTTTTCTCAGCATCAAAATTAAGCAATTGTCATTTTAAATATTGGTATAATATGAATTGTAACAGTTTTTAAATTGAGACATACTTTTCTCCTTGAATTCCAGGAATAGAGTATATCAGTGTTTTGAGAAATTTGATATTTAAGAGATAAGGCTCCAAACCTTACCAGGTAATATCTTTAGCTTAGTATTTTCCCAATATGGGTTTTACCCACATATAATTTCACTTGTTTTGGCATGTTAGCTGTCTCTAAGGAGCATAAAGTAATAGGAAACAAAATCATAGTCAAAAAAAAAGTTGTCTTTAAAGTCATGTCAGTATTACTTTTTTGTTAATTCATTACCAAGTATCTTCAGAAGATAGTATGTATTTCAAATCCAGTTAGGCAGACATATGCATGTTTGCAAAGCGTTTCTTTATAAAATAAACAGCCACAAAAGCGAGAAACATCAGCAATTGTCTGAAAGCTATAACTGTGATACAAACTGCGTTGCACACAAATCTGAACTCCCAAGGTGGGTACCATCCTGGGTAATCTATAAATAAGCACATAAAGAAAAGATTTATTTGGAGTATATACATTTGAAGTAACTGAGGAATATAAGTAGAAGTGTAAAATCAAAATACGTACAGATAATCTTGTCACGTTCTGGATTTCCTGGAAAAAAGGGAAAAAATATAGTTTCACCAGCCAGCCGTGATTTCTCTCTCCTTAAATCTTTAGTAGCTAGCTAAAACAAACTCATCAGATTTATAATCAATAGATTTGAAAAACTCTGAAAATTCTCCTTGATAAACCGTAACAATAAAACAGAAGCTGAAATGTTTTGATAAAAACCAAAAACAATACTTCATAATATTAATGTTTCCATAAAGCTATTATTGTTTATAACAATGACAAGGACAGGGGAGAGGGACATATCACACAGCTCCTTCATTTTCAGTTTGAACCCCCTCTCCTTTGTCTTTCTCAAAATAATAAATACTGTTTAACATTCAGAATATACACGAGCTAGTAAATACAAATACAAATCTCATCTCTCAAATATATATATAAAATGTGTATATATATGTGCGTATATATAAGTATTTAGCTATCAAATTTTTTATACATAAAATATATATATGTATTTATCAATATATATATTGATATTTATATATATAAATACCAAAAACTTTATGGATGAGAATGGGAGACACACTGTTTCCTAAGTAAGTGGGGCCTAATTCTGAGATCAGGTACAACCTGGTGCTCCTTGCTTCTGTTTTTCAGAGGTGTCTGCTACCTAAAAATGCAGACCTACATGATCACTCAATGTTTTTAAAGCTATACTAACATATATATTATAGTAATTAACTGTTAAGCAGAAAGCACAAGCCTTAATCCCAGTTTGTTAAATGAAACTTAAAAACGTGTCCTAACTTTAATGTCCTTTTAATGTCCTAACTATAGCCACAGGAAATTTCTAGCTTGTGACTTCCCAGCAGGTGGAAGTTGTCAGGTGTACAGCTTTCTGAAGAGAGATGACCTACTGTCTCTTAACATCTCACTCCATCAAAATATGATCCATACGTAGCAATTCATGACCCTTAATTCATTTCCTTGACAAGAACAGAGTTGAAAGAATTATCCTGAATTATACCTGTCTATAACCAAATGAAGACATCTTGATGGTCACTTAGGCCCAGAGTCAGTAAACTATGAACTATCTGTCTGTTTCCTGAATGTAAACAGCTTTTAGAATAGTTTTAAATTAGTTGTGAATTGGACCTGAGGGAGTACCATTGAGGAGTGAAACAAAGTTTGCAACATTCTTTTACAAGTAGGTGATTGCATTTTTAAGTTTTACATATTGCATTTTACATTTGCTTTTACTTACTACACAGTTTATTTTCACAGGTGTCCCCTTTTGCACAATTACTGCATGATCTTCCTTCTCTATATGGTCTTCTTGGAAGATTACCACTACAAAGGAAAAAGAAGTTTCATACATAATTTTAAATGATTTCTTCATTGTCTTAAATCATTTCTTGAAGTAAAAACACCAAAAGTGCAATGAATTGCTGACATTTCATTAAAAACATCAGAATAATTTTCCTTCTTTCCATTTTCATTGTTCTGCCACAGTGAAAGAAAAGAATCTTAAAAAGCTGTAATTTTTCTTATGAGAAAATACTCAGGCTTTTTACTCAAATTTTACATTGGTATATGAACTACTAAACCAGAATGTTCTGCAGGGAGCTTGGTTTTAACTGAGGAACAATGAGAATTTTAGAGTGGAAAATTTTAAAACTGACACACTCCCAAGTAGCTTAAAACAAACTATTTAGCAAAAGGAGAAATCATGTGAGCTACTTACTGTTGAATTCTTGAGAAACAAGACTTTTATCCCACAAAATGCAAATGTCCAAAAGTAAGCATGCAGTCTTCGTGAAGGCAGTGGGAACCTTACGTGCTTAAGTAGTTCATCTAAGTGGAGCCAAAGTGTTTAAGTATGAGGATCAGCCTGCAGTACGTAACACTGCACATTCTCAGAAAAGTTCCTTATGCATAAAACTGCTGGAAATGACAATGCAGATACCATCATCCTGGCACCTACACAATACTACTAGTTAATGGGAAACACAGTATCCGGTCTATGCTGCACCCATTCCAGAAGATGAAGCAATGCTATGTTTCACAGCTCAATCCTGGGAACACAGGGGCAGATTTAGTCCCCTCAAAGGATTGTGGGAAATCATAGTTAGCTTTGTGTATCATTCTACTCACCTCCATAGTGGGCACTGTGGGCACTTCTCAACGGAGGTAATTTGCACCAAGTCCTGTGATAATTTTTTTGTGATTCTAAGTCTGTATTTACAAGCTGAATCATCTGTATTTATAAACAAGAGCTACCCACCAGACATACAGATGTAAGGGTTAGTATAATGTTGTTGCACAAGATGGAGGGAGAAGAACACCCCAAAAGATTATCTGTGACTTGTGACTATTCTTCTTTTAAATGTCTGTTACATACATTTGCCCACAGATATACTGTTGGCCTGAGTGGCATATTGCAGCCACATGCCCTGATATGCAGTCCCTGCAGCAATAAAACTGAGTGGGGATCCTCTGATCTCAAGAATCGAGCGTTAAGTTTTGAACTTGCCAGAGAAGAGCCGAAGAGTTGTTAATAGCCTTACTAATAAGCCTTCCAGTACCTAAAGGGGGCCTACAGGAAAGATGGGGAGGGACTCTATCAGGGAGTGTAGTGATAGAGCGAGGGGTAATGGTTTTAAACTGGAAGAGGGGAGATTTAGATTAGACACTAGAAAGAAATTCTTTACTGTGAGGGTGGTGAGACACTGGAACAGGTTGCCCAGGGAAGCTGTGGATGCCCCATCCCTGGAAGTGTTCAAGGCCAGGCTGGATGGGGCTTTGAGCAACCTGGTCTAGTGGGAGGTGTCCCTGCCCATGGCAGGGGGGTTGGAACTCAATGATCTTTAAGGTCCCTTCCAACTCTAGCCATTCTATGATTCCATATATATATGTATATATAAATATTTTTAAAAGTTATAGTTTAAGTAACGTATCTTTTGGTGACTGTCCATATATACATTCACAGCATGGGTGATTCTAAACAGTAGCCCACATGGTTATCTTAAAATAGGTCCCAGAATCCAGAACACTAAAGGCTGAAGGACACGGTGTTGCTCCTAGAAGCTCTGGCAAGAACATAATGCCTCATAAGGATGTGAAAGCAGACACACTCGGTGACTGTGCAGGTTTCAATTGCAGGAATGAAATACAAAAAAGATACCTATGTTGCCTGAGCTGCAATTTAGCAAGTCTTTCTTGGTATATCAAAAGCTTCCACTGTAAGTGATAATTACACTGTAACTTCACAGAGTTCATAATCCACTGCGAAATCCTCTTTGAGAAGACTGATAGAACTCTCAGTCAATGATCCAGAGAGATGAAAGACCTGCCTTTTTCTTCAAGAAGTCTTATCTTGCCTTACAAATAAGTAAATGCATCTATCTATCTATCTATCTACAGATTGCTTAACACCTAGGTTGTAGAGTGCTGCCTCACTGAAAAGGTGTGAGGAATGGTAAAAAAAGGCACAAATTAACTTCTGGACAGAGAAAAAAAGTCACTCTCCCACGGAAATTCAGGTGGCTTCTGAAGACTATACTACTTAAATGAAATAAAATATATGGCAAACTACCACATGGGCTTTAATTTCTTTACTTGTCTTGCTGGTTTAGGCCACAGAAACTAAAAGGCTATCTCCATAAGAAGTGACATTATGTGTTTTATGTTTTGCTGTTTAACAGTAATCATTCAATTTAATTAAACATTACTACTGTTTCATTTGCTTCTGACAGCTACTGAGTATTGAGCCGACATTTTATGTTTTAAAAACAACAAACAGATTACATATGCATGTGCTTGATTATGGACTGTGCATTATTATAAGACATAATATATTATTTTAAAACTATCTGCATCCGTGTTTTTAAACTCCTCCTGCTTTAAGAACAGCACTGGCTGGGGCCTTTGCTTTTTCAGAGTATCCATTTAAATGTAAAATCATGTGTTGCAGTTAGCTTTTTCTTGCATTGATCATTTGCTATTTTCCAATGCTTAAATAACATCTGCTATAATCATAGCTATCAAATAGGCAAGAAATGATAATGTTTCTTTTTTTTACTCAGTTACACAGAAAGGAAAAGCAACTAATTTAACACCTGTGCAATTATTTCTATCACTTCTAAGGGAAAAAAAAAAGTGCAACTAAAAATTGTATAAAACTGTAAGAGGTAATTCCACCTCTGACAGTAGTTGCCTGCAGCAACTTTTTCATTTCTTCTGCTTCTTATGAAAAAGAAATCAATGAAGTGGAGCATACGCAAATTTTGTCTTCTTTGCTTAAGATTGGCACAGAATGAGATTTATCAGTAAAGTTAACAGATTAAAAAAACTACGCAATTACACATTATAATGCTCCTGGATCTCTTAATAACTGAATTAGGCAACCATTATTTTCTCCGATTGCCTTTACAAGATGACCAGTAAATAAAGAACCCAATTTACTTTCAGCTGCTTTTTTTTTTAAACATTTAAACCAGCAACTTACCCTGGTGAATAGTTGCAAACAAAATTTGCTGCATTTCGTATTCCTGCAACTTTCTTACACAGAGTAACAGCACAGCCTATTTTGTATGAATAGTCCCAAACAACCTAAAAAAAAAAGGTTTTAAAAGAAATTAAAAACTACACTCAACAGTAATTACGCCTACTACCTAGAAAATTTCTGTTTTTTTCAAAGATCCTACATATTATTTTCATTTTGCAACATCTGACCTTTTTATGCATTTAAAAACTGCAGGTAAGTGAGCTTTTTCAGATGAACTTCTAAAGATTCACCCCTCATGATGAAGTGACCTATGCTGCAAGTTTCCAGAATCTTCTGCAGAACAATTTCAGTAAGAGTCATTGACTTCATGATTCAGGGGTAGATTCTATGGAACGAAAGGGGAATTAGTGGCAACTGCCCAACAGCTCCTTTACTAATTTTAGCATTCATAAATCAGGTGTGCAAGAAGGGCTTCTGTGTGCTAAAAGTGGTCTGGCTGATTACTACTGTAAACTTATATCTGAAAGCTTTAGCGCTGCACATTTTCAGACTAACAAGTGTTATCTGCCATACTTAAGATGGTTTACTATCCTTTACGGTTTGGGCATCTGCTTTTTCTTGGGAGATTCTTCCTATCCTTCTGTCTATGACTAACCAAACTGTACTGAATATCTGGATGATCATACATTTCACTTCTGGAAAACTTAACAACATATTGGATTACTCTCAGTATGTCCCCAATATGAAAAGGACAGGCCTCAGACTGACAAACTGATTTTACCATCCCAAAAAGTTCCATCTCTTCAATTATGACTGCAAGAAGTGGTTATGGTCAACAGACACAACCCTTCTTTGAAAAGAATCTTCATGTTTAATGTGGCGTTACCCGATTCCTGGATTAAGGAATAAACATTTCAGGGGCCTTTATGTAACACCTTTACATCTTTTTTGACATTTCCACCATTCTGAGATTTCTGTGTCATGGTTCTCTCAACAGGTCTACAAAGCCTACCCATCTATGATTTGTAAGTTTTACCCATCTCCAATTTTGTGTCTGAGCCTTCAAGACCATGATGGGTCCTGGATCATGCATGCTCTTTGATTATAATTTTTGACTACATATGTACTTTTCATGTTCATTGGTGTTTAACCCATGTACTCTTGCTTGTTTTTTCTCATGATTAGCTTACTTTGCAATTCTGCCTGAAATACTGCCTGAAATGCATGAACATTTTGATATGACTCAATTATATGTAACAAGAAAGAAGCAAGCAATATTAATCAGGGGAAAGAAAACTAAGAAGTGAAAATCACTCCAAGAGAAATGTGCAAAACCCTCCAGAATTCTACACAGATGAGGCTGAACGGCAAATTTAAAGATGCCAGGAACTACCTTGCTATATAACTTTTTGTCACTTATTGTGCCAGAGAAAAAATGAAAAATATTTTCCTAAGACATTGTGTAGCTCTAATCTTCTAAAGATTTATTGTCCAATAAACAGCAAAATTAAATCCTTCAGCCTTGCTTTTGGGTTTGTTACAGGGACCATGAAACAAGAAGTAACACTTGAGGTGAATATGTGAGAAAAGACATAAAAAAGAAATGCAAGAAGTCCCAAAAATAAGATGTTTTGTATACAATTTTGGTAACTTCAAGTATTATCATTTCACAATCCAAGTCTACTCAAAAAGAATCTCGCCGCTACTGCTGTGTCCGGTAACAGTTTCACTGTAAATGTACTCCACAGTATTTCATCTGTAATGTGCACAAAGAGAAGTCTAAGCATCTTTGAATACTGAGATAAGAAAATAGAGAGTCACTACAGTAGATTGTCTATTAGAATCTATTCTTGTAAATATCTGTATCTCGTAAATATCTTGTAAATATTCTTGTAAATATCTTTACAATCTATTCTTGTAAAGAAAGAAATACAACCCTGTATTATTTATAACCCCTACTGAATTATCTGGTAGGCACTATACAGGACATTTTACCAAAGATAACTCTTACCTGAGTGTAATGACCACAAGTCTTAGTACATTTCTGATTTGCGAAGGTATAGAAATTGACCTCACTATACCATGATTTAATGGCATCACCAGCTTTGAATATTTGATGACTTCCAACCCAAATATTCTCTCCAACAGATGTGAAATTAGGATGGCACTGATGTTTCTTCTCTAAGTATACGTTATGTTCAAAAATGCATTTATTTGCCCATGCCCTTGCAGTCCTTGCCAAAGCTTCATCCCAAGTCTGGAAAACATGAAAGGTGAAATAGTTACGCAATGTTAAGTTACAACCGGACCTTAAATAATCAGATAAAGCCAGTCGGGCAATAAACTACAGATAGAGATCATATGCTGGACTTTCACAAAGAAATGCTTTCCCTTGTCTAGGCAAGTACCTGTGTTTTCTTTTCAGTGGCTTTTCCTCTTGCAGCACAGAGCCATTAACTAATTTAATCAGATGAGTTTTTCCCCCTTGTTGAAAATTAACTTTGTAAAAGCACTTGCAAAAAACTGAAAAGACGTCTGAAATGCATTTTTATCTTCAGGTAAGTAATTACTGTCATATTAATTAAATATGAAACTTTTTTTGGTTTTTTGGTTTGGTTTTTTTTGGTTGAACAGGTCATTAAGGATTTCTGTCTGGTAGATAGAAGTGAATGTAAATTAGAAATGTATAACTCCTATAGATTGAGGTATATGTTTTAAGTATTCTTAAGAGAGCCTCCAGAAAAAAATACTTACCCCTCCTATGGTAAAGCTTTAAATACATATTTGAGCATTTTGCAAGAGACAGCTTCATGAAGTAAACATGCCAATGTTTGGCCCATAACTCATTCTGCTACCTCTTCTCTGCAGTCTGCCACTGTTAACAAAACTTCTCATTCCTGAACACGAACCAACTTTGGTATTTGTCTTCCAGTCATGAACTATTTTTCATCATCTTTCTTCTACCATTAAAGTACCTAGTTTTATGTCTTACATAAAAGATGCTGTGTTTTATTGCCTAGGTTTATTGGTGTTTGTACATTTCAGTTCACTCTTAGTCTCTATGTGGATCTTACAAGAACTCCACTGGCTGCTGATACTGTTTTCTCCTTAAAGCCTTTAGTTTTTTCTAAAAGTATTTCTACACACATTGCTTTGCTTGTAATTTTTCCTGGTTTTCCTATTCTTGAGTACTAAAACCAAGTGTGGTGTCTTTCCCAAGCTTCTTCACTTCTGAAGTTACACCTCCCTCCCCCTTGCCTTATCTGCCATTCTGGCTTCAAACCCACTGAAGCCAACAGCATTTTTGCCATCAGTATCCAAGTATGAGCATGTTCCCAAGCCTTCCTCAGGGTACTCGTCCTTTAGCTGCTCACATTATTCTCCTCTTGTGGTTTGAAGCAGACTAGACATCAAACATCCGCTTTTTCTGCATATTCTTCAGTTTGTTTAACCCTTTCCAGCCAAAATTTTTGAGTGCAATTTGTTTTGGTTATGGCAAGCAAAGATTCTTCCTTGCCACCCTTCAGCCCCGGCGCTGCAGCTCACACCCTTGCCTCTGATGGAGAGCCTGACTCTTCTGGGTCAGTCCTACTGCTGGACCATCGTTTCTTCTGAAGGAGACATTTATTTCAGTGAAATATGAACATCTTCAGCTGACCTGTGTCACTGCAGCCTGTTGTTTCTAGACTGAAACCTGTCTACACACTGACTCAGCCCACTACAGTATTTCCTGTCAAATAAACGTGATGATATTTGAACACAAACCAGTGATGCCATCTTGGTCACTTCACCCAGGGTCCACTAAGAGCCCCTCGTCCCCCTCTCTGTCCCATCCTCCCCGGCAGGGCTCTGGAGCCACCCCCAGGCCTGTCCCTACCATGTAGCGCATGTTGCTGGCGAGCGGCTGGACCTTCCTGCGCAGCTCGTTGTGGACGCGCACGCATTCCTCGATGAACGCCTCGTCTGTGATGCTCGGAAAGGTGGGCGACGGCCGGGCTGCCCCCCTCAGCACTGGCCACAAAGCCAGCACCGCCACCCACGGCCTCATGCTCCCGACCGCCGGGGCCTCGCCTGAGGGACACCCGCCCCTTCCAGAACGTTCTCCCTCAGGGGACGGCCCGGGGAGCCCGCCCCCGCACAAGGGGGCGCTGTGCGGCCTGGAGGGGGGGAGCGGCAGCCACGCGCCTCTCTTCCGCGCTGGGCGGGCGGCTCGTTGGCAGGAGGGCGGCGGCGGTGGCGGCGGCGGCGGCCGGCGCCATGGTGCTGTCGGCGGTGCAGCAGGCGGTGGTCTCGGTGGTGCTGGTGTTCTGCGTCTTCCTCGTCATGCCCAGGATGTTCGGGGGAGGAGGAGGAGGAGCAGGAGCAGGCGGGAGGACCGGCAGGTCTCCGCGGGGCGGCAGGGCCGTCCCTGGCCGTTACGATCCCCGTCAGCACGGCAGAGGTAGGAGCCGCGGCGGTGCCCGAGGCCGGAGCCGGCCCCTGTCTCTGGGGGGAGACTCGAAGGGAGCCCCCGGGCACGGAGAAGGCTGTGCTCGGTCTGGCGGGAGGCGCTGGGTGTTTGGCAGGGGCTGCGGAGGAGGAGGCCCTGTCACACAGCTCCGAGCTGGCCTCTGCGCTCCAGGCTCCTCGCCTTGGCCTTCCACACACTCCCCCCTTCGAGTTCTGCTTTCCTAGTTCATTAGTGTTTATATTTTTGTCAGTGTTGTCTTGATAAAATTGCTTTTGAATGCAGGTGACACCCTGTTACTGGAAGCGTATCTTACTGGGGTAGTTTAATGAATAATGCCTGTAGAGACACAGTTAGTTTCTCTAACTGATTCGTGGCTGAGAGGTGTCAGAGGAAAGAATTCACTTCTAACATGAATTGCAATAAAGAAGCCGAGTGTTAGTGTTAGTAAACATTAGCGCAGAATCCTATGAGATTTGTCAGGTAATGTATTGGAGAAAGTCCAAAATGGTTATTTAGAAAAGATGTCACTGAATGGGGTAGAGATCTTACTGCTTGTTAAAGCTTGGGTGGCGTAAATATACATTAAGCTATGTCAGTGTACATCAGCTGAGGATTTAGCTCAAGGTCCAAAGATCCACTTTCAGTTTGGTAAATAACAAAAAGCCTGCTTTATTGAGTTAGCTCTGTGATTCATTGGTAGCATCTTCCAAAGCATTGTAACCCGAGGGATGGATGGTTGCTGTAATCCTCCAGGTTAGGTGTCTGTGCTTTTCCCCAGAAGTACCTTTCAGAGGCAGAAAAAGTGAGGTTTGAGCTGCTACCATGTTCTTCACAGCTGATGTTTAACTGACTGTTCTTCATAAGATCTAGCCTGTCTAGAGGTTTTATTTGATTTCTTTTAATTGTTATGGTAGCTGTCATTTCCTATAGATCAAATTCTTTAAAGACCAAACCTTAAAAAAATAAACACTTCACATACCTTTGATTGTACTGATATATTGTCCCAGCACAGTGTAGAAATTTCAGGTAGATCTGCTGTCTGGGTTCTTCTTTTCTCCTGTTTGGCCAGTAACTTGCTCTGCTCTTTCTTCTGTGGATAAACTTGGTGCAGGATACTGGATGCTGTTAGGGTTCCTCCATGCCAGGAAGGTGTTGTTTCCCTTGACCACATCCTTAGTTGTATGACCTGTAGAAATTTTTTCATCTGTGCTATTATATTTTTTAGTAAATATCCTTATATCATTAAAAACAAAGATTACTGAAAGTAAGGAAAGAAGAGTGAGTTCAAACTTCAAACTAGTAATAAATGGGAAACATTCTGAAAGGAGGGAAAACTATATGTGGGATAAAATGTGATTTCCAGATTATTTAGTGCCATTTTAGTAATTCTAAACCTGATTGTGTTGTAAGTAGAATGTCTGTCTGAATTTGCATTAAATGATTAAGGTAGCTTGAGTTCTTCCACATGTCCTTGATCAGTTTGCAGCATTTGGAGAAGACCCTTTATCTGTATGCTTGCTCATTGGAAGAACTGAAGACTTACAGAAAAAATTAAACACCCTAGCGTGACTAGGACTGCAGAGCGGATAGTAACAGTCTCTACAGAGCCAGCCCTGAAAGTCTGAAAAACTTTTCTGGCTAACTCACTTTAGCCAATTTTAAACTACCATTTGAGATCTCTTATCACAAAGTACCGGCTTAGGTTAGCAAAATTAGATTCTTTTTTCTCTTGTATTTGGAAGAAGCTGTAGCCAAACAGTTGTTTCACTGAGAGTTTTAACTTAACTTAGTTGTTTACCTGATTGCGGCTGTCTCTTGCACACTGGAGTTATGTTACTGTAAATTCTTGAAATGCCACTGGTTTGTATTAATTGACAAGGAGTGATTTGCATAATGGTCTTTTGTTTGGGAATTTTTACAGAATGTGAATCTTGTTTTTAAACCATAATCAGTACTCATATATTAAATGATGGTGAACTAAGCGTTCAAAGAGTAAGTCTAGGCAGTCAGTTGAGACATCAGTGTAAAACTTCACACTCCCCAATCACCTGCTGTCTGTCTTTGCAAGCATCTGCATTCCTTAGCTGATAGCCCTGTTTCTCATGTGCATGTCCTATGAACCCCAGATTTAACTACCAAATAACCTGATCTCTAAGTCGAGCAATGGCACTAGCTGTTCTTTCATCTGCTCCCAGTCCTGGCAGGCAAATTACATGCAAAAATACTTCAGACTTCCAAGGCTGCATTTCTTTACTATTGTGTAATCTTCTCCTGCTAAATATTTGATTTGCAGAGGTACAGCACTTCTAAGCCTTTGGGAATATCCACATAACACTGAATCTACTGTCAAAATAACAAAAGCAGTGACGCAGCATGTATATTTCAACAAAACTTTTGGTTTTTTCTGGGACTAGACAGTTTAGTTTCTACTTAACTCCTTTATAACAGAGGAAAAATACTAATTTGTAATTGTTCTCAGCATTACCAACAGTTTCTCTGAGTATGCGTTAATTTCAAGTTTTAAGTTGTTTCTTGTGGTTCACTGTGGGTTTGCCAATGTTGCTGTGAAGAAACTAAAACTTGTATCTTAAAGAAACATAGAAACTTAGTTTGAGAGTCTTTGTGACCTAGATTTATCTTTGCAATACTATTAATGAAAGAGTGATTTTTAAGTTTGGTTTTTTTTGTAACTTTATTTGGATGCAGAGCTGACCACACCAACTTGGAAGAGTAATGAACAAAGATGATCGCACAAGAAGAAAGCAATTTAATTCCATTTGTGAAACTAATTGGACTCTTAATTTCCTTTCTAACTTTGTCTTCTTTCTCTCAATTTATTTCTTAAGGTAGTCCTCAGACAGTTCATCAAGTTCACCTGAATCCAGGAAATTCTGACAGTAATACTTATAAGAGTTTTCAGCAGATGAGAAATGCAATGGAAAAAGAGATAAAGAGTGAAAGAACAAGAGGAAATGGTAGAGAGTTAGCATTCACCCTCATGCCGTTGTATGCTCTTGGAGTGGGAGTGTTTGCAGCATACAAATTTCTTAAGGTAAGCCATAAGAAAAACATTAAATTATTGAAACTAGAAGAAGATGTAACTGTTTCGGGTATTTTTTTTCCCCATTTCTGAGCCTACGTATGTTGTCCAAAAGCCATTTCTTGCTCAGTTTGACTTTGAATATGAGGTCCAAAGGTAAAATTATAGTATATCTGATTCTTCCTTATGAAAGCTTCTGACTGATCTGTTTTTAGACACTTAAAGAAGTAAGAATCTTACCCACACACGCTGCCTGCCCCCCCCCACCATCCCCACCCCAACCTCAGATAAGAATCTGAGAACCTAAACAGTGCTGTTACCTGAAGCTGTAACTGAAGCCTCATCAGTATTTCACTTTCCTTTCATTCTTCAGAATGAGATTGAGTATGGGAAGGAGATGGATGACTCCTGCAGAGCAAGAGTCTTAGATTAGCAATTAGAGTAGCGAGTAGTGTAGACCTTTTATTTGGACTTCTCATTTGGTCGTGCAGCTGCAACATAGATTTTTATCCATGAAATGTGATACCTTTTTTTTACCATTAGTAAATTAAGAAAGGAGAACACATGATCAGCTGTTGGGATTGTTGTTAAATATCAGTCTTGATATGTATTATTTATAGTAAGAGATATTACAGCACTTGTAGTGGTGAGAGTGGACCTGGAACATTGTTGCTTGCCTTCAGGGAAAAAAAACCCCTTAAACCTGAACAGGGCCAGAGGCAGCATCTTCATTTCCATAGTTTCATATCATCTCCTATGTGAGAAAAATACAACAGCTTAGCAAGGTGAACAGAGAGGCTGACCAGTTAGGCTTTAAAAATAAATTTAATTAGGTTGTAAATAAGATTTAAACATCATAAACACAGTATTTTGGGTATTACAATTCTTTACACTTGCACTTGTGGAATTAAAATGTAAATATTTTTATAATAGCATCTTCATTCCTTTAAAAAAGAAGTTTTTACCTCCTAGTTGATGATAGGAGACTGGATCCGGTAACCTAGAAGGTTCCTGCTGTTCGTTTTTGAAAAACAGAGTTGAAATAGCAACTGCTTTCTTTGACAACTTTTGTCATTGTTTAAGATCAGAAGTGTTAGTTTAAGATAGGAAGAAGGCATGGCAGAAAAAAGAAGTTTCATTAATGGAGCACATTTTTGTGGTTTCTATTTAATTTCAGTAAATTTCTAAACGAATTTTTATTTTTAATATACAAATATTGATGAAGTCTTTTAACACGATTTTATTTATTAAAGATGAAGTCACATGAAGAAAGTCTCTCCAAAAAGGAAAAAGATACAGAAGATAAGGCAAAGGAAACAGGTAAAAAAACATTTCGGAATGCATACGTTCACCAAAAATGCATATTTCCTGCTGGTACAAGCTACATATTTTTGTTGATGCAGTCTAGCTAAACAAGAGCAATCTTTTAAGTTACTTATGTACAGTTAGGAAGAAAACCACTTTGTTGTTATATATATTGGAAACACTTATTAAAGGTTTTTTCAAAAACTTCAGGTGGTAATATTCTTTAAAGCAGCTATGGTAATACAGTATGATT